GGCTAACCAGCCTAGGGGTCACATCAGGAGGAGGAACCCCCAGAGTATTTGGCTTTCAAGCCCAGCAGGGCTGCTTACATGAGCTTCACAGGACTGGGGAGAACAGATTCCACTCTTGGGGGGAACATGCAAGGCCTTGCAAGCACCAGGACCCAGGACAAAAGCAAGGACTTCATAGAAACCTGGGTCAGACCTACCTGCTGGTCTTAGCAGGTCTCCTAGGGAAGCATGGAGTAGCTGTTCCCTCTGAGGTCATCAAAGTGGGTGGCAGACATTTCGGACTACTCATCTGTATGAACTCTCTTTGAGGCAGACATTTGGCTTGGGTCTTTAGCACCAAGACCTGGCCCCACTGAACAGCCTGTAGGCTCTAGTGCTGGCACACCTCTGGCCAAATAGCTAAGTAGACTGACACACAACCCCAGGCTTCCTAAAGACATTTTGAGCCCATAGCCCTTTGACACAGCCCTACACAGAGAGCCAAAACTTAGCTCCACAACCAGTGGGTAGACACCCACTCATCCTGCCAGGAAGGCTGGATGAGCCTATAAACAAGCTTAACCCACCAAAAGGCAGACACCAGAAGCAAGGAAACCAATCCCACAGCCTATAGACATGAGTCCACAAACAGATCAGAAACTGTCTTGGGACCAGCTGGTCCCTTGCCCTTGGATGATGAGAGAGGAATGTCCTTCTTGGATACAGAAACTATCCCCTACAGAGGATCTCCAAGATTGAGGAATGTAACCTACCACACTCATAAAAATAAAAGAAGTTTAAACAAAATGAGACAGCAAAGGAACATGATCCAGATGAAAAACAAAACCTCAGGAGAACAACTAAGTGAAGTAGAGGTGGGCAGTCTACCCAAAAAAGAGTTCAAAATAATGATTGTAAAAATGATCCAAGAGCTCAGGAAAAGAAAGGATGCACAGAGGGAAAAGTTTTTAACAAAGAGTTAGAAAATATAAAGAACAACCAAAAATGGTTGAAGAATACAATAACTGAAATGAAAAATATATTAGAAGAAATCAAAAGCAAAATAAATGAGGAAAAAGAATGGATCAGTGAACTGGAAGACAGAGTAGTAGAAATCAGTGCCATAGAAAAGAAGAAAATGAAAAAAAAAAACGAGGACAGGTTAACATACCTCTGAGACAACATCAAATGCACCAACATTTGCATTGTAGGGGTCCCATCGAAGAAAGAAAGAGCCTGAGAAAATACTTGAAGATATAATAGCTGAAAACTTCCATAAACTGGGAAAGAGAACTGTCACCCAAGACCAGGAAGGGCAGAGTCCCAAGGAGGAACATGCCAAGACACATAGTAATCAAATTGACAAAAAGTAAAGATAAAAAGAAGATATTAAAAGCAACAAATTATACACAAGAGAATCCCCATAAAACTATCAACTGAGCAGGACATGATTTATTTAAAGTGATGAAAGGGGAAAGCCTACAACCAGGAACACTCTACCCAGCAAGCCTCATGTTAAGATTTTAGGATGGAGATATCAAAAACTTAACAGAAAACTGAAACTAAAAGTATTCAACACTGCCAAGCCAGTTTTACAGCAAATGCTCAAAGAATCTGTCCAGGCAGAAAAGAAAAGGCCACAACTGGAAACAAGGAAATTACAAAATGGGAAAGTTCATGGTAAAGTCAAACAGTTAAGGTAGGAAACAATCCACACACAAATATATCAAAACCAGTAACTGTAAGAGGAAGAAAGTATTAATACAAATGAAGGATATTTAACATGCATTGGGAATAAAGAGATCAGCAACTTCAACCATCTATAATGTAAACAGATTAAATGACCCAACCAAAAGCAATAGACTGGTTGAATGGATAAAAAACAAGATCCATATATAAGCTCTCTATAAGAGACCCACTGACCTAGAGACACATACAGACTGAAAGTGAGAGGATGAAAAAGGGGATTCCATGCAAATGGATATCAAAAGAAAGCTGGAGTAGCCTTACTTATATCAGTCAAAATAGACTTTAAAATAAAGACTATTCTAAGAGACAAAGAAGGGCACTACAAAATGATCAAGGGATCAATCCAAGAAGATGTAATTGTAAATATATATGCACCCGACATAGAGCACCTCAGTATGTAAGGCAAATGTGAACAGACATAAAAGGAGAAATTGACTGTAACCCAATAATAATGGGGGACTTAACACCCTACTTTCATCAGTGGACAGATCATCTAGACAGAAAACCAATAAGGAAACACAGGCTTTAAAATAACACATTAGGCCAGATGGACTTAACTGGTATTTATACAGTATTCCATCCAAAGGCAGGAGACTACACATTCTTTTCAAGTGCACATGGAATATTCTTCCGGAGAGATCATATGCTGGGCTACAAAGCAAGCCTCGGTAAATTTAAGAAAACTGAAATCATGTCAGTCAAGCATCTATTCCAGCTATGAGGTTAGAAATAAGCTACGAGAAGAAACAGAAGCAGACATGGGACAGTGGACTGGTTAGTTTGGCAGGGAGTGTGACAAGGCTGTGTGTTGCTGCCTGACTTATCTAACTTACACGCAGAGCACATCATGTGAGATGTCAGGCTGAATGAATCCCAAGCTGGGATCAGGATTGCTGGCAGAAATATCAACAGCCTCAGATATGCAGATGTTACCACTCTAATGGCAGAAAGTGGAGAGAAACTAAAGCGCTTCCTGATGAGGGTGAAAGAGGAGAGTGAAAAAGCTGGCTCAGAACTCAACATTCAAAAAACTAAGATCATGGCCTCCAGTCCCATCACTTCATGGCAAATAGAAGGGGGAAAAGTGGAAGTAGTGACAGACTTGATTTTCTTGGTCTCCAAAATCACTGCAGATGGTGACTGCAGCCATGAAATTAAAAGGTGCTTGCTATTGCGAAGGAAAGCTATGACAAACCTAGGCAGTATATTAAAAAGCAGAGACATTACTTTGCTGACAAAGATCTGTATAGTTAAAGCTCTGGGTTTTCCAGTAGTCAGGTACAGATGTGAGAGTTGGACTATAAAGAACTTGAGAGTCCATTGGACTGCATGGCAATCCAACCAGTCAATCCTAAAAGAAATCACCCCTGAATATTCATTGGAAGGACTGATGCTAAAGGTGAAGATCCAATACTTTGGCCACCTGATGCAAAGAGCCAACTCTTTGGGAAGGGACCTTGTAGCTGGGAAAGATTGAAGACACAAGGAGAAGGGGGTGTCAGAGGATGAGATGGTTAGATAGCATCACAGAACTCAGTGGACATAAATTTGAGCAAACTCTGGGGGATAGTGAAGGACAGGGGAGCGTGGCATGCTGCGGCCCTTGGGGTCACAAAGAGTTGGACATGACTTAAAGAGTGAACAACAAGAAAAAAACAAAAAAACACAAACGTGGCAACTAAACAATATTCTGTTGAACAACCAATAGATCACTGAAGAAATAAAAATACTTAAGAGATAAATGAAAACAAAATCATGATAATCCATAAAACCTATGGGACAAAGCAAAAGTAGTTAAACAGGGAAGCTCATAGTGATACAAGCTTGCCTCAGGAAATGAGAAAAATCTCAAACAACTAACCTTATGCCTAAAGCAACTAAAGAAAGAAGAACAAATAAAAACCAAAGGTGGTAGAAGGGAGGAAATCATAAACATCAGAGCAGAAAGAAATGAAGTAGAGACTAAGAAGGCAATAGAAAAGATCCATGAAATGCAAAACTAGTTCTTTGAAAATAAAAGCAAAATAATTAATAAAACTTTATCCAGACACAACAAGAAAAAAAGGGAGAGGGCCCAAATCAATAAAATTAGAAAAAAAGAGAAGTTACAACTGATACCACAGGCATACAGAGGCCCAAAAGAGATGACTCCAGGTGACTATATGCCAATAAAATGGACAACCAAGAAGAAATGGACAAATTCCTAGAAAGGCACAATCTCCCAAGACTGAAAGAAAAATAGAAGATATGAACAGACCAGTTAAAAGAACTGAAATTGATTCTATGATTTAAAAACTTCCATTAAACAAGTCCAAGACCAGACGACTTCACAGGTGAATTCTAATATTTAGAGAAGAGTTAACACCTAGTCCTCTGAAACTATTACAAAAATTGCAGGGGAAGGAACATTTTCAAACGCCTTCTATGAGGCCATCATCACCCTGATACCAAAACCAAAGATACCACAGAAAAGAAAATTACAGGCCAGTATTACTGATGAAAATAGATGCAAAAATCCTCAACAAACTACTAGCAAACCAAATCCAACAATATGTTAAGCAGATCATACACCATGATCAAGTGAAATTTGTCCCAGGCATGCAAGAATTTTTGAATATCTGCAAATCAGTGTGAGACAGTACATTTAAAAATTGAAGAGTAAAAATTGTATGATCATCTCAAAGATGCAAATGAACTTATTTAAAAAATAGAAATAGACTTACAGACATCAAAAACAAACCTAGAGTACTAAAGGGAGGAGTGCAGGATAAACTAGGAGTTTGGGACTGACATATGTGCACTGCTGTATATAAAGTAGGTAACCGACAGGGACCTACTGTGTAGCATGGGTGACTGTGCTCAATGTTTGTAGTAACCTATAAGGGAAAAGAATATATACACATGTACACCGCTTACCAGGTGGTGCTGGTGGACAGGAATCCACCCGCCAGTGCAGGAGATGCAAAACAAAGGCTCCATCCTTGGGGCAGGAAGATCCCCTGGGGGAGGAAATGGCAACCCACTCCAGTACACTTGCCTGGGAAAGTCCATGGACAGAGGAGCCTGGCGGGCTGCAGTCCATGGAGTTGCACAGTCAGACACCGCTGAGCACACACGTGTAAGTATATGTGTGCATTTATGTGTGTAGTTTAATTACTGCTGTACTCCTGAGACTACCACAACATTGTGAGTTAACTAGACCTCAATCAAAATTTTCTCTAAGTTTTAAAAAAGATAATCATGCAAAATGTCTCTCTATTTTCTGATTTCAGAAACTTGGGAGAGAAATTTCACGTGTTTTACTGAGCTTCTACACGTTGGAATTGTGTATTGCATTCACATACACAATCTTCGGCTGTGTTGGTTTGGTAAGTGTTTTATCTTAACTCGCTGGCAAAACTAGAGATGTAATTTCTAGTAAGTCCACTTTATGAGGAGATAAAGTGTTCTGATATAATGTTTGGTACGAATAAAAATAAAATATATTTATTTCACTTTCTATTTTTTCTGTTTATAAAATTAGAAAAATAATACATGTAACAATATTAAAGCAAAAATAAAACAAGATCAATCCAGTCAATCCTAAAGGAGATCAGTTCTGAATACTCATTGGAAGGACTGATGCTGAATCTGAAGCTCCAATACACCAATACTCTGGCCACCTGATGCAAAGAGGTGACTCATTGGAAAAGACCCTGATGCTAGGAAAGATCGAGGGCAGGAAGAGAAGGGGGTAACAGAGGAGGAGTTGGTTGGAGGGCATCACTAACTCAGTGGCCATGAGTTTGAGCAATGCTGGTGAAGGACAGGGAAGTCTGGCATGCTACAGTCCATGGGGTCACAAAGAGTCAGACATGACTTAGTGACTAAACAACAACACAACAAATTGAGAATTAAAAAAACTTACTAAACCTTGGGTAAGAGCAGTGGATGTCTGTGACAGTTTAACTTGGGGCTTCTCCAGTTCCTTCCAACTTGCCCCCTCAAGACCAGGTTCCATTTTGCAGACGCTGACCTGGGTGAGTCAGACTGTGGGGGCCAGCAGTCTCACTGCTGCAGTGGACTGGTGTTGTTTGGAGTAGAGTGAAGAAGCTTCCATGGCCAGTGAGTGAGCCAAGTCGCTCAGCCGTGTCCAGCTCTCTGCGACCCCATGGACTGTAGCCCACCAGGCTCCTCTGTCCATGGGATTCTCCAGGCAAGAGTACTGGAGTGGGTTGCCATTTCCTTCTCCAGGGGATCTTCCTGACCCAGGGATCAAACCCAGGTCTCCCGCATTGCAGGCAGATGCTTTAACCTCTGAGCCAGGGTACTATTAAAACAGTGGTGATCTCAGTTGCAAACATTCTGGAAAAGCCGATCTAACACCTGGCCTAACTAAGATTACAATACTATTGGGGCAAGAAATTGACAACAAGCCAGACCAGAAGATGTACAATTCAGTTCAGTTGCTCAGTTGTGTCCGACTCTTTGAGACCCCATGGACTACAGCACGCCAGGCCTCCCTATACATCACCAACTCCCAGAGTTTACTCAAACTCATGTCCATTGAGCCAGTGATGCCATCCAACCATCTCATCCTCTGTTGTCCCCTTCTCCTCCCACCTTCAATCTTTCCCAGCATCAGGATCTTTTCAAATGAGTCAGTTCTTTTCATCAGGTGGCCGAATTATTGAAGTTTCAGCTTCAGCATCAGTCCTCCAGTGAATTTTCAGGACTGACATCCTTTCTGAAATGAAAATCCCAAGGGCAAATCTGAGTCAACAGAAGACAAAATCTGCAAACATGATAGAACAGTATAGATCATCCAGTCTGAAGAACTGAAAAAAAAGAAAAATAAACAGCCTCAGAGATTTGTGGGGGACCCCATCTACTGCACTCACATATGCATAATGAGAATACCAGAAAGGAGGGAATGAGGAAAAAAAATTGAAAAATAATGGCCCAAAATTTCCCACAGTTGAGGAAAAATATTATTCTGTCCATCTAAGACACAGGTTCAGTCCCTGGGTTGGGAAGATCCCCTGGAGAAGGAAATGGCAATCCACTCCAATATTCTTGCCTGGAGAACCCCATGGACAGAGAAGCCTGGCGGGATATAGTTCATAGGATTACAGAGTCAAACACAACTGAAGCAACTTAGCATGCATCATGCAGTCATCTAAGAGGCTCAGTGATCTCAGAATAAACACAAAGAAATGCACTCCTAGATGCTTCAGAAATAAACTAATTGAAGAAAGTCTTGAAAGCAGCAAGAAAAAATGACTTCATGGGCAATGCAAGTGTAATCCATAATAAGATTACTAACTCATCAGAAACAATGGAGGCCTTAAAGTAGTAGGAAAGCGTATTACAGTGCTGGAAGAAAAAAACAGCCAAGCATAAATTCTATATCCTTTAAAACTATCCGTCAAAAAATGACTGTGAAATAAAGACATACAGATGAACAATGACTGTGAATGTGTGGCTAGCAGAACTTCTTTACAAGAAGCATCAAAGGAAGCTCTTTAGACTGAAAGGAAATAATACCAGGTGGAACTCAAATACACATGAAGAAATAGCATCAGTAAAGGTAATTATGCAGATAACTATTTAAAAAATAGTCTAAATATGTCATTTGTTCTTTCTTAACTAACTTAGAAGACAATTGCGGGGGACCGGGATGGGGAATACATGTAAAAAAAAAAAAAAAAAAAGATACACTATGGTTGTGATAAAAAATAAATAAATAAATAAATTTAAAAAAAAAAAGACAATTGCATAAATCACATTGAGCTCACCCAATTAATCCAAGATAATCTCCTTATTTTAAGTTCATGTTTATGATCAACATTAATTCCATTCATCCCAGCTACTCAGTTTTACTTAATAACATGAAAGCAACCATGGACAGTGTTTAAATGAATAGATGTGGCTTTGTTTCAATCAAACTTTATAAAACAGGTAATGGATCAGATTTGGTTCATGTGCTGTATTGTGCCACCTGTTGGTCTATAGATATATTTTTTTCCTTTCTTATATGAAATTTTAAAAGAGATAAGATTATAAAAGCAAGAATTATAACACTACATCATTGGTTACACAGCATGTGCTCATGTCTGACACTTTGCGACCCCATGGACTGTAGCCCCCCAGGCTTGTCTATCCATGGAATTTTCCAGGCAAGAATATTGAAGTGGGCTGCCATTTCCTTCTCCATGTCACATATGTAGATGTAATACATGCGGCAATAATAGCACAAAGAAAGGGGAAGGAATATAGCCACATGAGAACAAAGTTTCTGTATTTTACTGGAATTAAATTAGCATTCATCTGAAAGAAATTGTGATAAGGTAAAATGCATACTGTAACCCCTGACCAATGACTAAGAAAATTCCCAAAATTATAGTAAAGTAAAATTAACAAATTAAAATAATACATAGAAAGTATTTTATTTAGAAAAACAAGTAAAGGAGGAATATAAAAGACATGAGACATGTAGAAAACACACAGCAAGCAGCCAGACATAAATCCAACCATTTCAATAATAACATTAAAATAAAAATACAGTGAGATATTAAGTGCCTAACAGAATGACTAAATTTCAGAGTACAGTTTTAAGTGATGGTAATGACTGTGTATGGGAGAAGGCAATGGCACCCCACTCCAGTACTCTGCCTGGAGAATCCCAGGGATGGGGGGAGCCTGGTGGGCTGCCGTCTATGGGGTCGCACAGAGTTGGACATGACTGAGTGACGCAGCAGCAGCAGCAGCAGCAGCAATGACTGTGTATAAATGAAATTTCTCACTCCTAGTTGGAGTATAAATTACTGCAACAACTTTGTAAGTCTTCGGGGCATTATTTACTGAAGGTTAAGCTATGCATGCCCTATCAGTAACTTATTATGTGCCCAACAGAAATGTGTGCACACACGTAGCAAGATAGACTTCTAGGGAAACAAATAAATGTATGTATCAGTATTATTCATAATGGTCCTGAGGTGGAAATGCATTCAGTGAGTGGTGAATATATTGAGAATAAAATTCTACATGGTGATTAAAATGAGGAATAACTACACTTAACAACATAGATCAATCCTATATAATAATCTTGACTATTAAAAAGTAAATTCAAAAGAATGCATACTTTTTTATTCTACTCACAGAATATTTGAAATCAGGCAAAACTAAAGCTAAATTATGTTTAGAGGGAGGGCTGGAAGCTATTGCTAAAATTAGAAAGAAAAGAAAGGATGGATTGCCTGTAAGTGAAAAGGGCATTACTTTCAGAGGAAAGGAATGGGTAATAATTGGGAATGTCATGACATTCCCATTTGGAATGCTGGCATTTGTTGATGTTGTAGAAGACCATGAATATTTTATTTTAAAAGTCTGGGGGTATACCAAAAGTTATGCGTGATTCAGTAGCAATTAGAGTGGGTTGAGATAGAGATGAAACCAAAAGAGGACAAATGGCACTTTAACATTTTGTTCTATAGACATCACTATTGCTTGTATTTTTAAAAAAAAATAGGTATTTACTACATGTACAATTTTAGGAATCATAATGTGATTTTTAAGATGTTAATTTTTTTTCAGTGCCGCAAAAATGAAGATGCTCATACGGCTGTCACAGAGCAAGTTGAGGACGCTTTATAGAAACCTTAGAAATGCGAGAATTCTCCTGGTGCCCTTACTTGATGTGGGTCCTAATGATACATCTGTGTGACAAAGCTGCTGCAAAGTCCACAGGTTTTGTGCAAAAGAAAATATGAAATAAGCTGAATTTTCCTTTTTAGTATTCAAGAAAATTCTTTGCACAGATTTTTGTAGGCTCCAATTGGAAAGCTTTTCCACCAATTAAATATAATATTATTACAAGGAAAAAATTATTTTCTAGGTACACTGAATAGCTGTCAACTCTTCCTAACGGAGCTTTTGTAAGAAACCATTAAAAAGATTTGCGATTGTCTCTAGAGTACAAGCTACACAGACTTGGAGCACGATATTGTATAACTCTCAGGAGAATTTTAAATAACTTAAGATTCTGATTCTATGAGTAAAGGGTACATTTCAGTCTGAATTCTTGTACCTGAGCTAGCTACCTGAACAAAGTACAAATCAAAAGGCAGCCAGTTCAGTCCCTTCATTGATGGCTCCTCTCCTCATTAAAATTCCTTTCTGCCCTAAAAGTCTCTGCTGTCTTTTTTCCCCTTTGTTCCCCCTTGCTTCTTATTTCTTTTCATTGCTTGGATCACCTGTTCAATTGCTTTTCAAAGCAACAGGCTGCTCTTCCATACTAAGGAAAATTTCCCAAGGATCTGTTGTGACTTCAGAGTCATCCTTCCTTCAAATATGGAAAAGACCTTCAGAAAGCCTTGCTCAGCAATATTAATCATGCCAGTGAGTATATGTAGCTCTCTTTTAAATGTGCTACTGTTTTTTATTTGTTTGTTTTCTACCTTGTCTCTCAAGAAGTTTCATCAATTGTTATCTAATAATACAAATGAAGATTTTGTTGTTCTAAGAATTTTAGTGCTTATCTTACACACATTAATTGAGTGATTACAATGTACTAACAAATACATTAAACTTTGTAGTATCAAAAATTAATGAGGCACCTCATCACAAAGAGTTTTTATTTTAAGGAAGGAAACAAAACAGTTAACAAATCAATACTGTAGTGTGACACTTTATTAACATAATTATGAGAAAAACAGAAGAAAAAAGATAATGATTCTTTTATTGGGAAATAGGAAGGAATAAAGTTGAAGAATGTGACCTCTGAGCAGGGGATTAATCCTAGTTTACCAAGCAGATTGAAAGGTGATAAACATTTGAAATGAAAAGATTAGCTCATGCAAAAAAAGAAGATGTGTGAAAAAGATCACAGCATATTCTAATAGCTAAAATAAATATGTGTCATTAAAGCACAATGACAGGGAGAAATAGGTCGAGAGTAAAAGCTGGAGAAGTAGGAAGAGAGCAGAGGATAGAGTCAAACCATCAAAGGCCCATGACTGGTGTTGAAATGCGTCTTGCAGACGGCGCAAAACGACTGAAGGACTTTCAAGGAGGAAGCAATAAGCTTGAAGTTACACCTGAGAAAAAAGTGATAAACAGAGGGAGATGCATTAAAGAGGAAAATTTTGATAAGAACAAGTAGACTGTGGGTGAGAGTAATGGATAATTAATGCAATGACTCAAACAAGCAGAGGAAAGTTTTAGTTTTGTTGACTGATTAAAAATAAGGTATTAAGGGGAAAAATAATCTAAAATGACCCTCAGTTTTTGCGTACAAAATGCAGAAGACACAGCAGGATTGCATAAAGTGGTAAGTTCCATTTTGGATAGTTGAATTTGAGATTGATATGAGATATTAAAGTGGTGATATCTCTTGGGCAGTTGAAAATACACAGTTGGAGGCTGGGAAAAAGTTTAGCTATATAGAAGGAGAATGATTTTGATGACAGTTTCAAATATGGAAATAGGAGGGTTTCCATTTCCAGCAGTTAAAAACTAAGTTCTTGAAGTCCAAGCCTCCTACAAAGAATAAATAGAAGCAAGTCAAAATTTTAAAACATCATCTGTTTGAAGGTACTGGAAATTTAGGACCTAAGGGAGCTGGGATTTAAGGAACCAATATTCCAGAATTGAAACCAAGAGATGATACAGACTTTTAGCATAGCTTTTCCTGCAGATGCATTTTCTGAATTGCAAACAACAGAAGTGTTAAGAAACTTAAGAGCTTCTCATATTCTTAAAGAATCATGAAGGTAATAATTGGAATTCATGCCCACCAGAAGTTCATAGACACCCAGGACTTCCTATTATGATCCTTATAAAAGCTATATCCTATTTATGGCTGAGTAATATTCCATTGTATATTAGCTCATATATATGGAATCTGGAAGAATAGTACTGATAAACCTATTTACAGAGAGGAAATGGAGACTCAGATGTAGAGAACTGTCTGATGGACACAGCGGAGGAAGGAGTGGGTAGGACAAATTGAGAAAGTCGTGTTGACATATACGCACTATCATATGTGAAACAGAACTAGCAGAAGCTGCTGTGTCAAACAGGGGCCCAGCCTGGCGCTCTGTGATTAGAGGGGTGGGCTGGTGGGAGAAGGGGGAGACTCAGGAGGGAAGGGAGATCTATATAATTAGACTGATTCTCACTGATGTACGGCAGAGATCACCCCAACATTGTAAAGCAATTATTCTCCAATTTAGAAAAAAAGTTAAATTTGAAAAAAAAAAAAAGAACTATATCCTAACAGTAAAGGTGAAGAAAAATGAGCCATCCCTCTCATAGACTGATGCTCAGTTCAATTGCAGATTGTATGAAAATAAGCTTCCCCAAATCTAACATTTTACCAAAGCAAATATAAATCATTTCAAGAGGAAGATAGCATTATCCAAAGCATCAAGTTATCACTACAATTTTTCATACCCAATGTCTGGAATTCAATCAATGTAAAATAAGAATTAATTGAACTCCAATAAAAAAAATACAGACCCACAATAGACCAAATAACAGAACTATAAAACTTTAAATGACAGGATTTCAGCAGAGAAATGAAAATTGTAAACAAACAAAAAAAAAATCAAATGGAAATGAGAAATAGCACTACAACTGAAGCTAATATATAAATATATGAATGTAACAGCAAGTAGACATAACTGACAAGAAATTAGTAAGCTGGAAGAAAAAGCAAAAGGAAAAATAAAACTGAAGCATTGATAAATGTTGGAAAATGCAATAATGGACAAGGTAAGAGACGTGATACTGGTGAAAAGTCCAATACCATGTATTTGGAAGTTCAGAAGGAGAGTCCAGATAAGAGAAAACAAGTAATATTTAAAGAAATTATATCTTGGAATTTTCCCATTTATTTTTAAAAATGACTATCTATAGATTCAAGAAGAGCTACAATCCTAAGCTAAGTAAATATAAAGAAACCCACATCTAAGTACAATATACTAAAACTGCATATATACAGTATATATATGTGTGTATATATATATATACGTATATAAGTACAATATACTAAAACCAGCCACAAAGAGAAAAGTCATAAAAGTAGACAAGGTAAAAAGACATTTTACCTTCAAAGAACAATGATAAAAAGAATGATGGCTGACTTGTTAACCAAAACCAATAAAAGCCAAAAGCCTTCAACATTGAACTAAAATTTCAGTAAGTGTTCTTTAGACAAATGGGTAATGATCTCAGATGGAAACCTGAAGAAGCAGAAAAGGAAAAGATGTACAAATGTAAAAGGATAAATGTCTGAGTAAATATAGTGACCATATAAATGGTCATCACTAGGCATACTAAACTACCTTTAAAGAGAGTGAAATAGCACAAGGCAGGTGATAAAGTCGTTAAAGTATCTAAGGTCTTGCCTTGTCTGTAAAGCAGACAATTTACAACAGCCCCTAATAAATTGAGGTTGCCTGTTATAACCTCTAAGGCAAACACTGAAAGAATAATAAAAGACTATAATAACTAAATAAAATGAAATAAAAATACGTGAAAAATTCAAAAGAAGGCAAGAAAAGAAAAAGAGAGGTAAACTAAGTAGTTTTAGAGAAAATATTAAAGCGAGAAAAACAAAGATGTAAAGGAAATTCAGTCAAAAGTGTCCATTTTTAGGAAGATATAATTCTATATTTGTATGTAAGTAATATTAAAATACATAAAGCAAGTTGAACTAAAATAAGTAATCATCCATGATTATACTGGAAAAATTTTAGCAACTTTTCTCAATAATTGATGGAATAAGCAGACAAAAACCATTAAAATGTTGAAGATTTTAGTAAAACATAGCACTACTCACACACCTGAATGGCAAAAAAATTTAGCAGTGATAATACCAAGTCTTTGGAATCATGTGTAGAATCTGTAATTTACATACCCTGCTGATAGAATTATATAAATTGCTTAAACCACTTTGGATACCAATTTGAGAATATCCAATATGGAAACTTCATTCCTAGATTCAAGTGTAAAAGTTAGTATATATGCTCTTAACAAAAGATAAGAATATTCATAGAATAGTCCTAGAATCTGTATTCCAAACCCCAACTGGAAAGATAATCTAAAATTCCAAATCCAAATGTTCATCAGTGGTAGAATAATCTCACGAAGTAAATTTAGTGTTGAGCAAAAGTATCAAGCGTGAAGTATTACATACTTTATGATTCAATTTGTTTAATGATTAAAAACCAACAAAATACCTATTGGAAGTCAAGATTGTGGTAACTTTTCAGAAGAAAAGATGGAAATTAAACAACATAATTCTAAATAGTTCCCAGATTAAAGAGGATGTCTCAAGGGAATTTTAAAAAATGTTTCACAGCAACGCACTCCAGGATTCTTGCCATGAGTTTGAGCAATGCTGGTGAAGGACAGGGAAGTCTGGCATGCTACAGTCCATGGGGTCACAAAGAGTCATACACGACTGAAGTGACTTAGCATGCATGTAAACAACATGGGAATGAAAATGCAACACACCAAATTTATTGTGATACAGCTAAAACAGTGAAATTTATAGCATTTAATGTCTACATTAGAAAATAGGAAACGCCTTAAATCAATCTAACATTTGAACTCAAGAAACTTTAAAAAAAAGGAACCAAAAGAAAGCA